TAATGTTGCTTTGCCCACGCTCGCTGTCCCGGTTGCATGAGGACTGATTCGAATCTGCTTGCGGCAAGACCACTCACTTTGCGTGTTGACTCTAACTGTCTGCTATCGTTGCTGATTGGTTGGTACTGTACTTTGTAAATGTGAACCGCAGAGTCCTTCGTCTCAACTCAGACATCTGTGTTTTGCATTGGTGTTTGTTGTGGTCTTCAAACGCTGCGTAGTAATACTCCAGGCGCAGTTCCCGAAGTGCAAAGGAGCTCAAGAAGATGGGTACTCGCACTGCCCTGCTCCTGCATCCGACGGCGTCCTGCAAAAGATCTTGGAACTGGGTCCATCGTCGCTCATTCCGGTGCCCACATGTCCGGAAGTGCAGCAAGTTTCGATGTTTGGATGTGCGCCAGACATGTGCAGGACTGCATTTGAGCTGCTAGGTTGCGGTGTGCTTAAGTACACCGGCAAGGGGTCGAGAGAGTTCACCTGCGTGAGCCTCGACAACGCAGTGAAGATGATGGAAACGATTTGCGAGAAACAAGGGAGACCCACCCCAGAAGCGAAACCCGGCAACCCGCTTCTCAAGGTTCTCGCAAGTTTCTTGCACGATGGCCTGGACAAGAGTGGCCTTGCACAGCTCGATGATGTGCCAGGCTTGGTGGCTTACAGGGGCATGTGCGCGCCCGGGTCGGTGTGCTTCATGCCATCGGGGTGTGTGTTCAGCGAGCGCACGCTCAACGGCGTCATGGCGCATGGGTGGCGGTGCTCGATTGTAGAGCATCATGATGCACTGAGGGTGTTGCAGGCATTGGCTAATGATGGCTTCTTCGGCGCCAGATCGGTCGATGTGCTCAAGAAGTTGATCAAAGCTGCCCAGGTACGAGCTAAAGCAGCGCCGCCGAAGCCAGCAACGGCAGATTCTGCCGCAGATCCGAGTCAACAGCCCGGAGAGTCCCAAGAGGTCCAAGGATCCAAGTCCACCCCAGCGCTGTCCGAGCCCAAGCCCGCGCCGGGCGCAGGGCAAGCAGCTTTGCATGCGGCAAGTGATGGTGTCGAGAGCGGCGCCGCTGTGACAAGCAGTGACCCTGTGAAGCAAACCAACCCCGACCCCGACGCCCAGAAGGAGATCAAGCCGCAGCCCCATGCCGCTGCCGCTGCCCAGAAGGCGACCGAGTGCCGAGCTGAGGAGGCTCAGGATCCTATAAAGGGTGCCGGTGTTCGCGGCGGGAGGCAGTCCACAAAGAGGAATGCCAAGGAGGTTGAGGCAAAGGAGAGCTCAGCAGCACCGAAGAAGACCAAGAAGTGATCCTCAGCATGATCGGTAGGTTGCAGCACAGCCCAGCAGCAGACGATTTCGCACGAGAAGTATGTAGCCGTAGCAACAGTTACAGATGATGCAGTGGATTCCTGAACATTGTCGTCGCATGTACTGGAACATTGTATCCTCATTTGCAACACTGTAACATCACTGACCCCGAACTCTGCAATGGCCTTAGCCTCTAGACTGTGTGCAAGTATTTAAAAAAGCCAGTGACCGTAGACCGTAGTCTGTGCCTTTGATCACGGCGGTGGAAGTGTGGAAGAAGCTTGAAGTAGGCCTGTTGTTGTTAGTAGTTCGAATATGGTCTAGCGAAGCGGGTTCGATTGCAACGTGCAGCTCCTAGAGCACGGGAGTGGTGTGGGGAGTTGCAGGCCACCATGCCACAGTGCAAGGTGCCATGGCAGCTCGAATTTTGAAGAGGGCAGCTCGTTAGTTACGACGTTCCAGAGCTGCGCATCCTCTAGGGGCGTTTTTTGGTTGGGGTGCCACTTGCCACTGATGCGAGCTGGCAGTTAACCTAGCATTGATCGTTCAGGCTTCTGAGTCGAAGCTTCATATGGCGACTGAGCATTGGGCGATGGTGCGCCGATGGCAAAATGTAAGATGAGAAGGTCGTGATGCCCGTGACATTGCCATGCTTACCTTGGCCACAGTGGTTATAGTCACATGTCCAAGCCTGAGTCCAGTCCATGTCGCATGTCCGGTCGCCCAGGGATCATCGTTCGTTGCCAGGTATGAATCTTGTTCTGCACACATGTCTTGAATGCTATCTGTGTATTGAGTAAACGTTACCAAGCTCGAAACCCAAGTTGAAACCAAAGGCCCGAGCCCCGATGCTTCTTCATCGTCGAGGTCTATCTTGCGAGTACATGCTGTGTTGTGCAATTATTCGCTCCTTGCTGAGCCACGCCACGGCCCGTTGGGAGGTCGGCTTCAATTTCGAACGGCTTATGACGATTGCGGCTTGGGCTTGGCGGTCTGAGGGGTGTCGGATGGTGTCGTTTGTTCGTCGCACCGAAACCTGTGGGGCACTGTGGGGATGCTCTGTGCTATTATGCTCGCTGTCGTCATGTTGCTGGCTGATGCAACTGATGCTCTGCTTTTCAGTGTTGACGGGGTTGGAAATGTGACGTTTCTTTGGTCAAAACACTGTGCTTCCGCTTTCCGTCAGCGCACGTACGTTCGCATGGACGGGCGTGTAGTTTTGGTTGTGTTTCCTTCACGAAGTTCCATGCCCAGGGATACGCTACACAACAAGCGTCAAACGTTGATGTTCACTCTCTTTGCGGTCGGAGCCTGCAGTGTCCCCCGGCCAACCCCCCAAGCAAACTCACAAGACCCCACCGTGAAAATAACAACCCCATAGGGACGTAAAAAACGTAGGTCCGAGCCTTGTCCTCTGTCTCACTACCCATACATCAGGAGGAGGCTTATGGATTGCAGATCCCGCAGGGGAAGCTACGGTAGTTTTCGAGGGGGCTAGTGTTTCAGGCCGTATTATCGATCTGAGCAGTCCGTATATTTTCTATGCAGGGTCTAGACTTCACGCCACCCAGAAGTGGGAACCCGCTGAGAGACGGGTGCTTCTCACGGCCTTTTCGCCGCTTGGTGCCATCCAGCTCCCCAACCAATCGGCGCTGCAGCTCACGGAGTCTAGGAACAGAGTTCAGAGTCGCATCCCGGACTACTTTAGGTCTCTTGAGCATGTCGACTAATCGGGTTAGGTGCAGCGGCTTTGTCATGGCAGGACTTTGGCATTTGAATTTGGAATTCATGAACTTTGAAGTGAGGGTTCACACTGGAGCATGCATGCAAGCAATTAGTAATTTTGCAGTTTGTAATTGGTAATGCCTCTGCACCCAATGCCAAAATGCATGCAATTCATTCCCCAGCCCAAAAATTCAGTACTGCACTTCATAATACACTTAATTCAATGCCCCTGCCAAATGCCAGCTGCCTCCTTAGGACCCGACCCTAATTACCTGTCTGAAGACCCCATGCTTGCTCGCCGCCTGGCTGCACTTAAGATGACTGATGAGTGATGTGATGATGGCAGGCAACAAAAACCCTAAAAAACCAGAAACAAAAGCCTTGCCTGCTTACACCACGCAACTACCTCATCTTCACAATGCTTTGCCACCATCCACTCCGACCGCCAAGATCCTGCCAGGAGGTTCCTTGAATTATGGCATATTTCTTTTAAAGTTTAAGTGGGTATAGGCTCCTTCCATAGATACCTACTTTACCCTTGTTCTTTGCCGGAGCCTGAAGCCCAACAAGACTCATGTCTGACACGCATCGTTGCATTGTTGCGCCATGGCTTTCTGTGCGCCTCTGACTTTCGCTGCGGAGATAGACTACTGGTATCTGCTGACAACTGCTGAACTGGAATTCTGTTTTGCTCAGGGCAAGAAGGAGTCACGAGAGTATGTGGAGTTCAAGGAACACCCGCTAGATCTGTCGGGACATGGCCATTCTTCTTGAAGTGGCATTTCAGCTTCACCACAGAGTACCAACAGACATCAAGGCTACGATACAGCTGCATAGGAGTGGGCAAGCCGCTTCTTTTGGGCTACTTCGAGGGTTCTTTGTTGACAGAGGCTGACTTTGAGGGAAGTTGGACTATTGGTACACAGCCCAGCATGGCACTTTTGAGGATTACGGAGCTGGGTACCAATAGTCTGATACTTGTCAAAAAGAGATGCTTCTCGTGCTTCTGTGTCTGATTGCCAAGACTATGAGGAGGCTGAGGTCAGAGCTGGGTTTACGGATGCAGACACAAGACTGTGGTTGCATTTGGCCTTGATGGCGGTGACTTTCGGGTCATGGCGCTGGGTCACTGCAAATGGAATGCCATGTTTTGAGACATCAACCGTGCATTCTGGACAGTCCTTTACGGACACGTAAACTAGCCTGCCAGTTTAGCTGCCTCATGGTGAACACACTACGGAACCTTATGAAAGGTTGGTGAGGAAAGTTAAGGAGAAGAGAACAAAGTCGGAGTGAAATCAGATGAGGAGATGACGCCTAATTTCAGCCTTTTGCTGACAATGCAAGTTGGTAGCGCAATGCGGCGAAGACGTATTGCAGGGTCCTCAAGACGATGATCCAGTAGCACACGTAACTGAAGACTTATTGTTGTGCATCTGCAGGTCAGAGTGGTCTGAGGTTGAGCTTACTTAAGGTTTTGATGTCTGGGATAGCTGTGTTTTGCTGGATTTGTTTTTCTGGATTTTCTCTGACTTGTGGAGCACTTGTTTTGGATGTCGCTTAGTCGCTCTGTTCAACCTCGCCTGTGAGCTTCGTTCTCTGCCATGCGAGAGGGAAAAAAACCCTAAACCATATTTACCCTAAACCAGATATATGAAGCCTTAAACTCTACAAATGGTTTTGTTAAGCCTCATTTCCTTGGACCTTCGGACCAGGAGAGCCGACTGGGCCAATGCAATGGCGCTTAACCTCGGTTTAGGGTTTAGGGTTTAGGGCTTAGGGCTTAGGGCTTAGGGTTAAGGGTTTATGGCTTAGGGCTGAGGGTTTAGAGTTTAGGGGGAGCACTGCGGCAAGAGTATCGCTGCGATTAGATGATCTCTAAGATATCTAGCACAGTATCAGATAAGCAGACCTTCATCATTTCTTGCGAGGGTCTAGTCTGTGAAAAGCAAGTGAGCCCCCGCCTGTGCTTGTGAAGGCCCAGGCGGTTCGACGCAAGTTCATGGCCGTCGCTGAGCAGTTCGTTGGGGGACGGGGCTTACGGAGTTTAGGCTGTCTTTCGCATTAGGAGCATCTAGGGGTAAAAGTTTAGGGTTCCCGGTCCGGGCAGGGCATGGGCTCCTGACACTAAATCCCCAGCCCATGATGCCGCTAATCGGACGGTTCGCCTGGCACGCCAAGTGGTGAGTGTAGTCCTGATCCGACCCGAGAGAAATCTCGTCGTGCAGTGTCCGAGTTGCCAGAGCGTAATTAGACCCTTTGTGGGACATAGAAAGAGTTTGGCGCGACAACTTGGAATTCGGAAGTTCGGAAGTGGTGGTGGTAGTCTCTTGATCCTTTGACCAGTTGCTGAAGAAAAGCCTGACAGTGTTGTGTGTGCAAATGAGCTCCGAATGTGAGAGCCGAAACTATAGACATCAACCCGTAAATCCCACACCCCAAGCAAAAAACCTGCCCAAGAAGCATTTCTTGCCCATTGCGCGAGATGCGAGAGTCGAAAGCTACTCAGGTTTCTGGACTGATCCTTTTCTTCGTCGTCGCATCCTTCTTGGTGGCTCTGGAGGTGCGGAGCTTGGGCGCCTTGGACAAGGGCAAATATAGAAGACTAAAACATTACCAAGATCAATCCTTGGGGGTTCCTTATTATAGTTGTAGTACAAGGGAGCCCAAGCCCAAAACCCTTTTCTTAGGGTTAGACCTCTATACTACAGAGATCTTACGGCTTAGGGCGAAGATGGGCGAAGGTATGCTGCCGAGTCTTTCGGTCCGTTGGGGTCGTGATTAAATGACGAGCTAATATCCGCGCTGCACTAGTTAGGACAGCGTGTTGGAGTACATTAGTCAGGCTTCTATATCGAGCTTCGGACTCAACGGCTCTATGTTTGTGATTTGTCTTATGTTCAGGCTTGTTCGAGGTCTCGTGCGAGTCTAGAGGAAGCACAGTTGCCAGAATGACAAGCCTTTTTGACTGCGGTTTCTTTATGCGATTTTCGCACAAAGGGAGTATTGCAGCCCATCTTCACGTGACTTGTTGAATCCTTCGCTCACGTGATGTCATAGATAGAGATAAATAGAGGCCGATTCGATACACTCAAGCCTGCAAACCCCTAAACCCTAAACCCTAATGACAAAAATCCTAATGAACCGCAGCCCAGGACTTGTGAATGTCCTGGACGGGGCGTTGTGCGTCGGAGTGTTCACAGCTTTGGCACCGGGTCTGGTGGGGCTGCTGTTGATGGATAGACTCTCGCCAATGATATGGGAGTTTCCGAAAATTAGGGGTACCTTATTTTGGGGTCCTTGTAATAAGGATCCTACTATTTAGGGTACTATATCAGGGGTCCCCCGTTTTCGGAAACTCCCATATAGTATAGTATGGTATAAGATGATAGAGGGAGCACTTCGAGCCGCCTGGGATTTCAATACAGAGCTGCCGGTACCTGCACGCTCCACTGGAACTCCAGTTTCATGGTCAGGAGGATTGAACAAAGAAGTCAGACAACCAAAAAGGAAGCGACATGGGAGAGTGCAAGTATGTCAACAGCATGCTAGGTATGCAGCTCGCAAGTGCTTCCTTAAGGACGGAGCTTCGCATGGAAATCCGCCATGTACCTGCTACTAGCTGGTGGCATTGCGATGAGCGTTCTGGGTCTTGCGCCGCAGCTGAGAAGAGGTTTCGCTGGCTATATCCTTTTCGCGATTTTGGGGGGTTCGGATGAAGGGGTCACAAATCAAAGCAGCAAATCCAGCTCAAACGATATTGCGACAGCAAGCAATAGCAACAACAGAAGCACGCACGGGTTGCCAAAGCTTCGAAGGGACTGCAACATGCTTCGCTGAGGGTTTGGCGAGGTAGGCCTTGTCAGGAATAGGAATAGGACACCTACCTAGCAAGTTAACAAAATGGATTCCTTAGCTAACCAACACGTATTGCAGTCTCTGGGTTGCATGGCACATGGTCACAGTGTTGCTCAAGGTCTTCACGCAAAACGAGCCCGAGCTGCTTGCAAAAGCTTGCAAGCTTCCCCATGCTGCCGATGTGAGTATCGGAATGATTCTGACAGATCTCAGAATCACAACAACGTGATGCCCCTACCTGCAACTGGCACGGTAGTGAGGGCAGACTTCCGAGACATTTTTTGCGGCTTCGCGGCCAAACCAAGAGGCTGGTTGGGCTTCTGGAGGCACGGGGAGTCCTGTCTCACACTCCGCAACCGCGTGCGCAATGGCGCACCCAGTTGGAAAGTTCCGGAAAACCATCGCACAAATGGCTGGCTTTCAGTCTCTCTCTCCCTCTCTCGCTCGCTCTTGAACAGGCACCCTTGACGCATCTGTTGCATTCTACAGGTCTCTACAGCCAGAACCGTACAAGCTCAAGTTTGGCTCAGGCCCTTGACGATACACCCCAGCTGTAACCTGAGGACAGAGATGTTGCGCATTGCGGCTCTCCTCTGGACGCTGGTCTCTGGGGTACCCCAGCAGGACAGCACAGGCTTGCTCCAGTTCAAGGCCAGCTCCTCAGCTGAGCAGGTCCTCTGCGATTCCTGCGAGGCAGCAGATCTGCAAAACCCTGCGGATTTCGATCAGTGCAACTTCTGGGGCGATCCACACTATACGGAAACCTGGGGTGGCCTTGGCCGCTTCGACTACCAAGGGCTGGGCGTGCATTGGGTCGTAAACAACAACGAGACTTGCGACAGCTTCCGCATGCAGGCCTTCCACTGCCAGTACCGAACATCCCGCAACGCAGTGGTTCTGGGCTTCGTCATCGAAGTGAACGGCTCCGTCTCCGGCACGGTCTTTGTCAACGACACCTTCGTGGAAGTAAGTGCTGGCTTGGAAAATCTGGTATCGCCCATAGGTGAAATCTCCACCCAACAGCTGCAGAACGGCGGAATCAATGTGCAGACCGGCGATCGCTGCAACTTCGTCAACATCAACGGGAAGCCCATCAACTTCAAGCCCGGCTACCTGCTCAATGCCAAGGTGAGAGCACGCGTGGGCGTGACGCAGAATGCCGGCGTCTGTGGTTCCCCACAACTGTTCCCTACTTTCGTGAGCGACAACAGCAGCTTCCTCTTCACGAGCGGGCAGATCGAGCAGCTTTGTGAACAGTGCAGCAGTTTTGGTGGCTTAATCTCGCCCGGTTGTCCTGGTTTCGTGCCACCGCAACCACCGACAATCTCCAACGACCTGACCGAGGAATGCGAGTGGGCAGCTGATCCCATCGAAGCGCAGAATGCTGGCTCGGGGCCCGACATCATTCAGTTCTGTGGGCCGGACACACCCATTGCGGCCAACTTCTCCTTTCCCGGACCCAACCAATGCATCTTCAAAGTCAGCGGCGGCCGTGGAAACAGCTGCGATGACATTTGCGGACTCCTTGGCACCACCTGCAGCAACATGCCCGGCCGCGTCGATTCAACCGGTAATACAGTCTGTGTGGCAGGCGACAATGATGGTCCCGGACTTTGCAACAACACAAACGGAAACCTCAATACATTCTCTTGTGTCTGCGACATTCCGGATATTCCCTTTCCGGGCGATGACATCAACGACGCGGAGGAGGTCGCAAACAACGATCCGAACATCTCCTTCCAGGAAGCTATCGACAATTGTACGGTCGGGTGTTTGGCGAATTTGACGTTTGACATCAACATACCTCCGCAAACGGAGCTTGAGTACTTGCTTCGAGGCTGCATCATCGATTGGGTTTATGCAGAGAATGAAGACAGAGCAGACATCGTCGACAACACGCAGGAGCAATGTCCGGGCCTGGCATTAACAGAAACATGTGCCGAGTTCACTTGCAACGGTACCGGGCTGATCCCTGACCCAGCCAAGCAGGCTGTTGAGTGTGGCCCTCCCGGGACCTGCACCAACGCATTTTGCTGCCTCCAAACCTGCGAAGGGTTTATATGCACCTCGGGAACGCCGGCGCCAAACTCCACTTTGTGCAACGGTGGTGCGGGGCCTTGCAATGAGACCGAATGCTGCATAGTCACGACTACTACGACAGCTGCGCCCACCACCACCACAACGACAGCTGAACCCACCACAACGACCACAACGACTCCTGCGCCAACCACAACGACAGCTGAACCCACCACAACGACTCCTGTGCCAACCACAACGACAGCTGAACCCACCACAACGACTCCTGCGCCAACCACAACGACAGCTGAACCCACCACAACGACCCCTGCAGCCACCACAACGGCTATCGTCCCCACCACAACGACCACAACTCCCGGGAAGAAGCCGTACTACTCGCCGTACAAGCCCTTCCGTCGCTATCGCCATCACCGGTTTCGTCGATGGCGCCGCCGCCGCGGCCGCTATCCCTCCTATTACGACTACTCCTCCTACGGCGCGAACAAATCACTCATTCAATCTCCCACCCCGGACGAGGATGAGCATGAGGAGGATGGCAACTTCAAGCAGATGTACAGCTGCAAGGGCGAAGCTGGCTGTGAGGAGGCGAAGTTCAGAGCAAGACGCGGTGCTCAAGTCAAGGAGGTGCTCGTGGATGAGCTATGACGTAGACTTGCCTGACTCGCTCGACCGGCAATTCGAGCCAAACTTTCGGCAGGCGACTGGCGAACGTGCCTCGTCGCTGTTCCATATTTTACTGTCAGTAGTTGTACAGAGCATGCCGAATTCGTAAAGCACTTCGCACTGTCATAAAATTTGACAAGGCCTTCTCATCATCGTTTCGAGACTCATCAGTTCTGAGAGCCATCAGTTCTTGCACCCTGTCAAATGAGCCCGCCTGCCGGCGACCGACAAACACTTGGATAATCGCGGGCGGATTGAAAGAATATGAGGATGGCCGCACTTCTCATGCTAGCTTATGCTTCTGTGTGAGCGTGAAAGAACTCTGCCGAGTCCGCCTGCGACAATGCAAGAAGGGCCAAAGGAATCCGACAGGGTATGGTCGATAGGCCACACTCGACCTGTGCGACCTATGCAGCATGGAGGAAAAGGTTCCGTGTGGACTGCAAGGACATGCCAGACCTGCAGCTGATGTTCGGTTCTACCTCACCAGGGGTCAAGAGCCACCCAAACACGTGTGTATATATTATATAGTATATCTATTCGAAATATTATCCATTCAATTTTTCCTGCCAACATATGTACAAAAGGTATTTATGTATCTATGTATGTATGTATGTATGTATGTATGTATGTATGTTTGTATGTATATATGTNNATGTATATGTATGTATAGGTATATGTATGTATATGTATGTATATGTATGTATATGCATGTAGGTATGTATATGTATGTATGTATGTATGTATGTATGTATGTATGTATGTATGTATGTATGTTTGTATGTACGTATGTGTGTGTGCGTATGTATGTAGTAGCGGCGATGGCGGTTGGTTGGGTTGGGTCTATGGTGTGTTGCCTCAGTCGCCGGTGTGTCGCGTTGTGTTTCATCTCCGGACCAGTTGTCGTGAAAGCTTGCGGACCGTGTGTGAGTGCGGGAGTCGAAACACCTGAAGCCTTAATTTTAGATCCTACCACAGATCAAAGCAGGTCCAGGACTGGTGCCGAGTGAACAGGGACTACCTGGGAGAGGCGCATGATGCCTGTGGGTGAGGATTTAAGGTTGCTTTGAGGGGGCCCACAAGATATAGTTTGGGTTAGGGTCTCCTTGAGACTCATGTTTCCGGTAAGCCAAGAACCGGACGCTGTTGGAGAGACGTTGCAGCCATAGCCTTGGATGAAGTGGGCGCAACATTACAAAGCAGGAAGTTCGACTGGCCGTCGGCCCTGCGCGACAACGGTACCACTGCACGTTCGTCAATGCTTCGTCTTGACGAGACTGACCTTCGTAACGAATCGTCACCACGCATGTTACGGTGATGAGTGCCGCCAGGGATTACCAACACCGGGTCGAGTAAGATGCCGCTGATGATACGGGGGTCGCACGCACTTGGTCGGAACACCTAGTCTGCAATCGGAGCAGCGGAACCACACGGGAGCATTGAAGCGCCATGTGGGTTTCTCGAACAGGAGCTCAGGGAATATTAGATTCTGTTATAGTCCAGTATATTGGGTTTAGACCCTATCTCAATATGTTGTGTTAATGAACACCTGGACAGCCAAAAGCTTTGCAGACCGGAGTGAGAATCTCTGCCACAGGAAGGGATCAAGCAGCTGGATATGTTCGGACCTGCCGCCTGAGGCTTGGAAACTTCTGGTACAGTGAGGTTGAGAATCTAGCGTATCTATAACTTGGAAAGACAAACCAGAACCGAAGACAGATAGCTGCCAATTACAAAGAGCAGCACATGTCAACGGCGGAGGCATGCACAGAGCACATGATTCGACTTACACGGGCTGTCAAGACACAACGAGTGCCTTTCCAACCTGCCGAGGGCATGAAGCACTCCCCTAAACCCTAAACCCTAAACTCGTCTAGACTCCCAGAGTGCAGCTGCATCATGCTCAGGTTTCTCAGGATTTCGGACACAGAACTCTGCATCGCGAAAGGAGCCTAAAACTTGTGGACAGCTAGGCGTGTGGGAAAAAGCCCAAACCTGTGAGGGAAGCTCTGTTGATCTGAACTCGTGGACATCTCAAGTTGGACCAAGGATCAATGGCGGATTATCTCAGAGGGCCCTGCAGCCGAAAACATGGTCCAAGACTAAGCCCGGCAGCCGTGGATGCTCTCAACTCGTGTAGGCGTATCAAGGGTTCAGGGTGTAGACAAGAGTGCGGGGCCGGGGTTCTTTCTCAGGATGAGTGCAACAGCAGTTCTTGCGCAGCCGGATAGGAAAAGAAGGTTTCAGTATACAGAAGCTCCATTATATGGGCTTGATGCATATGGACTGATTGCCGCACATGGCCTAGGGCTTTCAGTTACTACATGAGGTAACCTTGCCTGCAGTCTCCATGTCGCTCGCACGCAGCGACAGTAACCCCACTGTGCCATAACACCGGTGCTCATTGTGTTTGCACCCCTCGTTGCTTGCATACTATTGATTCAGCTTGAAGAACGAAGGAGCTCAATGTTTGTCTCCTGCTGCAGGGCCTCAGAGGTTTAGGATGGTTTGGGATTATCACGGGGCCATATTCAATGTGCGACTTCACGAGTTACGGGGTCTAGGACTTTAGCGTTCATAAGGGTTTTCTTTAACTGGTGAAGAAGCTCAGGGCTCAGAGCCTCTTCGAGCCATTTTTGGGAGGGTCTTTTCCGGAGCTGCTGCAGGATTCGGTGCACATTATCCAGTCCCGGGCCAAGAGGCCACAGGGTTCGGGGTGTAGGGTTTAGGGGGCAAGAAGAGATAGAGATGCCGCTGTGAGAAGCCTTGCCGACAGGAGTTCAGTTGTTTTCGGATCCTGCGTCTGAGAGCGAGAGAGAGAGAGAGAGAGAGAGAGAGAGAGTGGCAAACTTCGTTCTCTAATGCCTCGGTCAGAGACGACCCCAAAGCCGACCACTCAATAGTAAAAAGGGTGGTCGGGCGGGCCAATGGCCTGAGGGTCCCGCAAACGGACCCCTACGCCCGGCAGAAAGAAAGAAAGAGAGAGAGAGAGAGATGCACGTTTCTCACTCCCCGTTGCCCAATAACACGTTGGGTGGGCCTGGTGCCCGGGGACGTTGACCCGTCCCCATGCCCGGGAGAGAGAGAGAGAGAGTCCCCACCACAGCCCTGGGGAAAGAAAGAGTCAGGGAGCGGGCTATCGATTCTATAATCTATGCTTGCACCCTCAATGCCGGACTATGACGTCATGCACACCTGGAACATCCGATACAGCAGAAGTCAAGCACCTTACCAAGCGCCTTGAAAGCTGAAGCCCCCAATATGGAGGCTATAGCCCCAGACATGCCTAAATCACAAGTTACAAAGCCCCACCAAAGCAGGAGCCGCGAGATGGCGAATACTGTTGCAACGATGTTCGCGCAGCGAAGGGAGTCGGCCCAACCGATGTTGTCCGTCTCCTTTTTCTGTCGGGGGGGTGAGTGGTTAGGGTTCAGGATTTAAGGTCTAGGGCCGAGGAAGGTTCTTGCATCATAATTAATATTTGGGGGAGTGGTTAGTCTAGGGCTTAGAAGTCTTGTAACATAACATTCGGGTGGTGTTGAGTCCTAACTTAAGGTGCCGTGCTGACGTATGCTAAGGCTGCTAAGGCTTTCCTCCTCAGCGTCTTGGAATTTCAGCAGATAAGGAGTACCAATCTGGAGCCCAGGTAGTAGGATCGCTACTGTCGGATTCGTAAAACAAGCCACCTCTCCTTCTAAGAAGCCCCGTATGCATTAATGCTTTCAATCTGCTTTATAGAACTGCAGATGCTCAACCGTCCGAAATCCCCTGGCACGAGGTGAAGGAAACGGTTGGTCCCTTCTTTGTGAATGGAGTGGTATTGGGTAATTAAAGCTTAAACTTGGCTCACGATTCTGCAGCCATGCAATTACACAGATTCCTAGTGTACCGACTGACGGCCTGACGCCAGACACAAGGTTCCGATCGTGGGACTGCGGTGCAATCTACGATCTACAGCTCGAGATGCAATAAACCGACATCGCAAGAGCCAACAGAGCCGAGTTATCATGATGGCGGAATGGCTGAATGACAGGCCCAATCAGAACCCTAAGCTGGCAAAGGCCTAAGCCAATTCTGGCACGGTTCCTCCTCCAGCCGAGCACGAGCAGAGTCGAATCTCAATCGGAACACGACGGCAAAGAATGAAACCTGGGGTAGCCTCGTCCAGCCTAAAACCTATAAGCCCTACACTGCCCTACACCCTAAGTTGTTTGTTCCAGCTCGCCAGGCTGGCGAACAAGACAGCCCAAGAGACCATTGTTGCCAAGGCATTGAGGTTTTCAGGCTTACAGCTTCGGGCTTGAGCAATTCAGGGTCTTAAGGTTTGGAGGTGAGGGTTCAAGTTTTCAGTTTGCGGTTTAGTGTAATTCGGGCCTGGAAGTTGGAATCAAAGGTCCTGGGATGCTGCGCCTTGGGATTAGAATTGGGTTTTGGGGTGTTGTTTATCATACAGTCTCCGAGGGTTTGTACTGTCATATTGCTGCTAGTTAGCCAAGGTCCTATATGATTCAGGATGGAATAAGAACTTACAACACGGTTCGCCAAGAATCGCAGCACTGGGCCGGGGAGGCGGCTGCACAACTTGAAAAGCTGCCTCGCAGTGAGTTCAGTTCGTGGATCCTAGGCTCGGCTCAAACCCCACAACAATGTGTTAGGTACTATACTGTATCTAGTATACCGAAATCTTGCTACCGCAAATACGAACTCGGGTATGCCATAAACCGTGCACCACAACCACCCCAATATTGCTGATCCTAACCATGCGAGAGAGGAAAAACTCCATTATCCCTAAACCCTGCGCCAGTGCCACAAAAGACCCTAAAGCCTAAATCCTTCACCCTGAACCCTACACCCTATAAACCCTGAATCCTGGCTTGTCCGAGTAGCGAGAGCGTAAACCCTAATTCCTAAACCCTAAACCCTAAATCCTTACACTTATTGCCATGCCTGCTTTGCGAGTGTGTGAGTCGAAATCCTTAGATCGTTTCGTTGGAAATCCTGTGACAGGGTCTTCGGCCTAATAGGCATGCCTTAGCATGAGGCGTGCTTGCTAGACACAGACAGCACTTTACCCTGCAATGCGGGCTCGTCCTTGCTATGTAGGAGGCAAAAACCCTAAATCCTCAACGCTAAATCCTTAACCCTAAACCCTAAACGAGCCGAAAGCTGAGCTTGATGTGCATGTTCTGAGACGTTGCGTTACCCTGCATTGCGGGCTTGTCCTTGCTAGGTAGGAGGCAAAAAAACCCTAAACCCTAAACCCCTAAACCCTGAATCCTTACTCCTAGACCCTAGATCCTCTAGCCTAAACCCTCTAAGGAAGGCGCTCTCAGCCCGGACAGTGGAAGTCAGCCCGGCAAGGCCGCAGCCAAGCCGCTCTTCAACCCGACCATGGCCGACACCGTGCAGGTGACGAGCCATGTTAGAACAGATTAGATAAAGTAGAATGTAAACAATCCAATATAATATATCATAGCATAGCATAATACAATATTACAACATGATATGATAAAATGTATTTAGTATATGAAACTACTCATATAGTGCTTCCAGGCAGTCAAACTGTGAACCCTTCGTCTCAGAAGGTGTCCAGGCTGTCTAGCTTGCGCTGAAGCCTTGGGTGGAGAGTGACAAGGCAGACGTGTCATCTTTGCTGCAGGCCTTCTTCACGAGAGTCGTCGGCTGCGAGGTTCGAAGCACTTATGCTCGCGAAGCCTAAGTCAAGCCAAGAGTAGGATACGACATGATACGATTGTAGATGGCGACAACTTCTCGTGGCGGTTCGAAGGCCTGAAACGGTCGATCATGGGTTTGCCTGACAGGCGAAGAGGTCACAGAATCTCCTGAACAGCCACTTCTGACAGCGTGCACTGCGCTACAGCAGTGACCCTGTTATAGCTGTTAGAGCCTCGACTACGAGAGCGCAGTAGTGTGTTGGAACATGCCAGACTGGAAGCGTGCTGCATGTGGTGCACTGCGCAGTGACTGGCTTTGTAGGTGCTCGCCAACATGTTGAAAACTCAACATGCTCAGTCCAGCATGTTAAACCCTAAACCCTTGAACACTAAATCATACAGAGTTTCTAAACCATGCAGAGCTGCAGCTCTGTTCATCTGGGTCTCCAACTTGTAGTTTGGTCGAGTCGGTGGTGTAAGGACATGTTTGGATCTGCAGGAATACGAAGACAGAAAGATAGGCCCTTGGAATGCCAATATAGAGTCTGATCAACCGCTTAGGAGAAGTTTAGGTGGTTGTACGTTCAATGCGTTAGGAGCCCGAAATAATAGCATGATTTAGGTTCCTGTATTACCCACAATTAGAAGTTGCAGTGGAAGCAGGCTTAGCGGGTGTAACGCCAGGTTCCTGAGAGCCAGCGCAGATGTGGTGGCTCGGCGGCGTGGTGCTTGGACTGTTCTCTGCGTGTGAGGTCGCACGTGCAGCATCTGGAACCTAGAAACTTGCGGCACGGCTTCAGAGCAGAATGTGTCGGACACACGCCCGTGCCCGCATTAAATTATTTCCGTTGTTTCAGGGCTGCCTAGTCGCCTGGGGCATACATGGCTCAGTAGCATTGTTTTTGCAGAGTGCACTTTCTGTGCCATCCGAGATTTGGATGGTGTCCTCCATGCGGAAAGCATGTTGTTCTTGCTCAGCTGCCCGAGGTGCAACACGAGCTCGAAGAAGATCGGTCCAAGCTCGTCGGAAAAGTCAAAGGTCCCCTGCAGAAAGATCGTCGTTGAATTGTTCTGCTTCCGCTGCCGCTGCTGGTTTGCTCCCCATTCCCATTATGCCAACGCTGCAGCTGCGCCCGCTGCTGCCCTGGCTTTGCTTGCGTTCCTCCTCCTGCTGCTGCTACACATGCTACCGCGATAGCTGCTACAACGCTACGACGACGACAGCAGCAGCAGCAGCAACAACAAGAGCAGCTGCAGCTGTTGCTGCCACTGCTCCTGCTCCCGCTCCCGCTCCTGCTGCTGCCGCTGCTTCTGCTACTGCGACTTCTTCCTCTACTGCTGCTGCTGTTACTGCTACTGCTACTGCTACTGCTACTACTACTACTACTACTACCACTACTGCCACGACGACGACTACTACTACTCCGACGACGGCTACTACTGCTACTGCTGCTACTACTACTACTACTACTAC